TCTTTAGGGTAAATTTGCAGGAGGCCTTTCGCATTTACATAAATAAGACAACACAGCTGAATTCAGTTTGAATGCCCAGCAATGGTGAAACATTTTTCCAATTAATCTGTGGTTAATGTGAGACCAGATATTCTCAACAAAGTTTCACTATAATGAATTTCAGCTGTTGATCTTTCCTACTTGAGGGGACTTTGTGCCTTTGGAAGGACTTTTTTCTGGCAGATCTGTCAATTCTGTATGATTACAACAAAGCATACAAAAAAACATAAACAAACAATTACCGAAAGGCAGTACTTAGGTAAACCTCCTCACAAAATTTGTTTAGTTTTGTGCTTAATATTCTTAAAAGTCACAATCAGGATTATTTGAGAATTGTTTGTTCTTTTAAGCTTTTCATAGTTTCTGCATTTCTCAGTGGACTAAACACTGAACATAGAAGTCATAACCTTCAACAATCGTTATTTGTTTCAATCAGTACTGAATTGGATGAACAAGTTTGATACACAGATGTAATAGATATAATTTTAGCTTCGATTCCTATGAAACATATATGTACACAGTAAAACTGCATTCCAGTACTGAGGCCAAAGCCTTTACAGGGAATCTGCTGCATCTTATCATAGCATCGTTTCATGCTGTATGTATTATTTTTATTATTTTAAATGACTAATTATTTACAGAAAAAGAACATCATATTTATGTTGACCTCAATCAGTAACCTGGAAAAATGCTGACTATGTTTGCATTTTCAGCACAACATTCTCATTAAAATGGTGTGCAAGATATTGTCGTTTATACACATGATCGAATTAATTCACTGTTGTCCAATAATACTGCACAAACTTTGAGAATTTGAGATTAACTCAAGCTTAAACTGAGTTTAAACTTGAATGACTCATATGAGTTGACTGTGTCCTCTGGAGCTACAATCATTCAACCATTCTTAAGATAAAAAAAAAACAAACAAAAAACAACAAACAACCCTGAAACTATTTATGTTTTTATATGAAATATGTGTGACTTTAACTTGTAATTTTTACATATAAAAGAATATGATAATGATCAAGGAAACTTAATTGGTCAGTTTTATTTTTGTTATTATTGTTCTTGTTGTTCTTTGGTACAAGGAGATAAGGCAGTGGCTCTCCTTTACATGGTTATTTACACCTGAATACTTGTTCTCTTGTCTCATTCACACATAGGCACGCACAATCATGACTCACACATTCTACACGCTACCCATTCAACGGAGTGGTAGCAGTATTCATTGTTTTCACAGAAAAAAGTGCAGATTCAGATACAGGTTAAATCGATATCTTATTTACATTTATAGGTAGAAGAAGATATTGTTATGACTTGAATTCGACAACTGCTACAGTATTTCAACTGAAAAAATAAGCAACTTATTTACTTTACAAATGTGAGTTCATTGAACTTCAAATAATATGTCAACAGAATGTGAAACACAGATTATTGCCCGTCCATTAATTTACTATTAGAAGTTCAATGAAATTGAAATTTTAAGGCAACCAGGTTGCTTACTTTCTAAGTTAAAACAAAAATAATGTCTTACAGTGTGTAGGGTTGACCATGTTCCATACCTCACATTTTTGGCCTGTGTGAGGAGCTCATCAGTGTTCATTTTCAGTTTTTTTCACAATCTCTAATAAGCATGTTTCAGTACTGAGATCACTTTTTCAAAACTCCTTATGCACATCTTTGCAGAAACATGCAGCATCAACACCAGTGGCCTTGCAACAAGAATACGTTGTCACTTCAGAAACACAACAACTGATGGCATTAAGGAAGATCCACTATATTATGCAAATCTATGAAATAATAAAGAATTATTTGCTTTTCAGTTTTGTTTTGCATTGTATTTTGTTTATTATTCTTTGGCTGGTCATGTAAACAACACTGTAAAAAGTAGACCAGTACAAAAGTTGATTTTAAATGTTTCTAAGGTTTGAATTGATGTAAAATATCAATTTTGCTCATCTAAACTAAAATTTAGCTTTGCTTTGTTTTATAGCAGGTATTTGTTTGTGTTGAATAAAACCACTTAAATTGCTTGTTAGCACATTTTTTTGTCTTCTACTGTTTTATACAGATGTGAAGAAGCACTTGCTTATTATGTGCTGGTGTCCAATAACCCAATAACTCCAAATGACCCCTTATTTTTAGATCGTCAGCACCTGGATAGTCCTTCAATAGGCAGTTAATTTTATGTCAGAGATTTCAAATAAAATAATCAAACCCACAAGCAAAATGTTGAGCATCAAAATGTCCCACATACACACATGAAGGTGTTTTAATTTATGAGGTGAATGGTGACAGATATACTTCAACTATAGAAGTAAAGGCAATAACCCTTACAGCCCAAAGCCCCTAATATGCAGGAAGGGTCGAACCCTTGTTATAAATGTCATAAAAATCAGCAGAACTTACTCTAAAGAAGGTACATTGCAGTGAGACACAGCATCAGCAAGTACTCCAATATCCACTCTTACTAAGATTATAGTTTGTGTGTTTTCAGGCTTTATAACTCAAGAGGTGTTTAAGTGATACGAATACCACAACAACCAGGAAGTCTTATCCTCTGTGACTATCATGAGTTCATAGATGTGACAAAGCTTGTTCATCCTGTTATTATGTCTCTGTTTTTATTCATCATAAACATCCAATACTGCATGTGGTTTGGTCCAGCACTTCTCCTGAGTGTAGCGAGTGATCCAGATGTTTAATTATGGTTAACATGCTGACGTCTAGTGACATAAATGGCACGTGCATGGTACGCTGTGAACAACGGAGCTTCAAATAGCAGTAAGCTACAATGCTTCAAGTGGTCAAACTAGGAAAAACTGTTGACACCAGCTAGAGCTTAGTAAAGGTTTATTTTACTTTGCAGTGGTTCAGATCCAATCTTTATCCCAAGCAGCTACCAAGGTGGCAGATTACGATTCAGCAGGTCTCTTCCCTAATGCAGATACAAATACAGTATTAGCAAACTGTACACTTGAGCAAATCTTCATATTTTAGGCCAAACAAAAAAAGAAAAATAAGCTGACTGATAACTTATTATAGTGATGGCTCACTAACTCCATTCAAATGCTTAGCTAGCTGCTAATCTTATTGGACACAAAGTAATAAAACAGCTCAAATTAAGTAAACTGAGTTAAAAAGTTGTTGTCCAACAATAAATAAATAACTCAATCTGAAAAGAAAACTGGCAACGTTTTTTTTTTTACTTCATGTTATTTTACTTAATGTTTATATTGAAATACTGTGATGTAAAGATCTGTAAAATGGCTGACTGGTGCAAAACAGCTCAGAAAGAATAAGTACTGATCTCAGGCTTGAAAAATCCAGATGTTAAATTAATGCATGATTATTCTTTCATTCAACATGTTTCTCTGAGTTCAGAAAATAACTACATTTACTGCATTGAGGCGCTACTTTAAATTGAGTAAAGTTAAAAACTCAACTGATTAAAATAGAAGCTTTTGAATTTCACAAGTTTGTTGAGCCAAATAATGTTATTTTTTGTCTCCCTTTACACAAACCCAAAAGTATTTTGTGTGTGTTTCTGTGTAAAAATATTACATGAGATAAAAACTGTTTCACTACACACTCGGTAAACCACAATAAAACTGAAACCCAAAAGCTGAGCTGTCTAACTATGTTGGTAAGCTCTGTCAGAAGAACCACCATTAGCAACTGTCTAACTATGTTGGTAAGCTCTGTCAGAAGAACCACCGTTAGCAAGCGAGTGCTCCCCAAAACCTGAACACTAATGAACATTAATTTAACCTAAATGAACATTCAAACCAGTGTCAGAGAGTTGAGTAGTTGAAACGACAGGTCAAAGGCTGCAGTTAGCAGCTTTGTTGTCTGTTAGTTCCTGATGAACGTCATCGATAACAGGTTTTATTTAAAAAAGACAAACATACTGTGAAGTTTGTTCACAATTTTCCTCTAAAAATAGTAACTTGTTGTGAACAAACCTTGGTTTTAAGGAGGAGGGAGGCATGGGAACTGAGGTTTCACAGCAAAGCTGGAGTTTTAATGTTTATTTTGGCTTTACAGCCATCATCAAATAAGGACAAAACTACTTAAACTATTAAAACTATTTATTAAACTCTTTGTTGAAAGCTCTTGGGCTGGCTCTGCTGTTGTGCAGTGTGTGTGTGTGTGTATGTGTGTGTGTGTGTATCTCTCTCTCTCTCTCTCTCTCTCTCTCTCTCTGTCTGTCTCTCTCTCTCTCTCTCTCTCTCTCTCTCTCTCTCTCTCTCTCTCTCTCTCTCAGTTCCTAACCCACTACTGCAACAGAGAAACATAGAAGTAGCAGGTAGTAAATCACACACAGGTGAAATGCATAGCCTAATTACCAGCTGACTCACTGTGACTGGTTCTCAGTCCCAAAGGTGATGCTAGGCCACGCCCACCCACCTGCCACACTTGTCTGTTGGTTCTCTTAGTTACAAGATCTTATTGCTGTAGTTGTTGATGTTGATGCTTTTTTAATTAAACAGATGTTTGGCTACTTAGGAGTTGTGTATAGAGTCCTATAGCTCCTCTGGTAAAGAGAAGTTTGAGCAACTCTAAAGAAGTGAGTTTGCTTCCCATATATGTGATCATCTGAAGTTTTCAAAGTGTACATGATGCATTTTTTGTTAAAGGTAAGCTCCTCATTCAACTGCTGGTTCACTTTCAGGATTATTAAACAATTACAGTAGTAACAGCTGTGATTTATTTGATATGATATGACATTTAACAAAACTTAAAAACTTTTTTCAAGACTATGTCAAGAGAACTCTGTATTTTTCTGATTTTCTCATTTGTACTGCATTTTGAATGACAGCAGTGTATAAAAGGTGCTATATAAATAAACTTGCCTTGCCTATGTATCCCTATGGTGAACCAGCTTTGCACAGAAAATGAAATATGTAGAGAAAACAAATCTAGCAGAAACAAAACTGTAATGATCTTGAAGTGCTGTGCACAATTTAAAAAGGAATTTATTGAAGAAAAAACAGTGTTTCAAAATGATTTACAATGATTTTTCAAATGTAATGTTAAGACATGAAATTATAATCCACACTTGGAGAAAGGAGAAGTAAAAAGAGAAATAATATGGAATTACTAAGAAGAAAAAGGTACATATTTCATACCAATCAACCTGTTCAGCACCCAAACTTTATTTCTGTTCTCACCCAGACAGTATAATCTGTAATGCTAAATACTGCTCTCAGAAAAGAATGTTAAATGTATTAAATAAGCGCAACTATAATGTCTGCATTCTGACAGGTGTTTGATGTTCACTCTACAAGCTTTAACATATCTTTGATATATCTCGAATGAATCACGATCTCTAATAATGAACAATCTTTCATGGCCAAAATGAGACTCTAATGCTAAACTCAGCTAAATGGAGATTTGATTAGTGTATAAAATATGAAATCACATATTTTGATTGTCTTTATATTGTCATTAAAGGAGGATTTTAAAAAATCAGAAGAGACTCGAAGAGAATGACCAGAGATCCACACACAGCAGGACTGTTTTCACTCATCTGTGAAGACAAAGTAAAATTACATTTACAATTAGCACCTTATATGGCCAGAACCCACCAGTGGACCCAACATTTTATTACACACTTCTATAACCTAAGAAAAGCTCAACCGGTTTTCACTGAAGTCCCTCTATTTACTGAATAATAAGCCTTAGTATGTGGGATTTTAGGGGGGGTTAAAGACCATTGCAGCCGATTACTGCAACATCAAGGGCTTATGAGCACTTTCTCCAGGGTCTGTTTATCAAGGAATTAGTAACTCTTGCTCTTAGGGTCACTTCATAGCCCACCCTAAGATTATGTAAAGGTGTCTTTTTACAATCCCATTTCCAAAAAAGTTGGGACGCTGTGCAAAAAGTACACAAAACAATACAATGTGATTTGCAAATCATATCATTTTTAAAGGAAAATACTACAAAGACAACATATCAAATGTTGAAACTGAGAGATTATGAAAAATATATGCCCAATTTGGAATTTGATGCCAACAACACGTGGCAAAAGTTGGGACGAGGTGAGAGAAAATATTGTCACCATATGTTATTTTCCTTTCTAATGTTATTCTCTCAACATTTGTTATTCTCCTGTATCTGTTATTTTCTTATAGTCTTAACCATGTTTACTGTAGAGTTTTAGCAAATTGTCTTTTGCTTGCAGAGTAGTGATAACTGTCACACTCTCACTTTGTCCCCTCCCTCCTTTGTTTGTATTTAAATGACCCTTCGTCTCATGACCTTAAGGTTATAACAATCCCCCCTTTTCTCTACCCCTGCATTTCTATTCATATACTCAATCTACAACCCCTCCTTACCCCTCCTCAAAGTCCTTTTGTTCCATGCTGTACCCATACTCTGTATGTGGAAATAAACTCTTTCTAACAACTTGGTGCCGTGACCCAGATGGCTTACTGAAACCTACTTGATGAATAAAAACGCCTCATTTTCGAGACATTTTCAAACTGAAGAGAAATTCTGGCTTTATAAGATAGAGAAGTCAGTAAAGGTCAGCCCCTCTGAAACAAGGGAAGTTTACTTATTGTCACTGGTACTTAGTGTTTTGAGGGACGTTTACGTAGTGTCACTGGTAAAAACTTAGTGTATTTTTTGTAGCTGTTATCCCCACTTTTCTGAAACAAGGGAAGTTTACTTGTCGTCACTGGTAAAGAAACCTAGTGTTTTTTGTGGCTGTTATGCCCTCTGTTCTGAGGGAAGGTTACTTATTGTCACTGGTAAAGAAACCTAGTGTATTTTGTGGCTGTTATCCCCTCTGTTCTGAGGGAAGGTTACTTATTGTCACTGGTAAAGAAACCTAGTGTATTTTGTGGCTGTTATCCTCTCTGTTCTGAGGGAAGGTTACTCGTCATCACTAGTAAAAGCCTAGTGGTTTTGTGGCTGTTTTTGTCACTGGTAAAAGCCTAGAGTTTCTTGTAACGTGTCCTCTCAGGCAGTTAGGGAAGTTGTTTGTTTGTTTTGTCTGTTTGTTGTTAGAGAAGATTGGTTGTCTTACTTCCTGTGTTACTGTCTTTGTACTATTGTCGATGAAATATATGGTTTAAATGATTTGCACATCATTGCATTTTGTTTTCATTTACATGTTGCACAGTGTCCCAACTTTTTTGGAAATGGTGGTGTAATTAAATTAAGTATTTATTTAACTATTTAACTACTTCAAAAATGGAACATTTGTTTATTTTATTTTATTTTATTTTATTTTATTCTTTTCAATTTCTGTCTTAATAGTGCAAGTGTAGTGTGATCATTCACCTGTGCTTCCAGCAGTCCAGATAAAAGGTCCCACAGAGATGGAGGCTTTGTCGTGGATGTCCACAGACCGGCCAGCTCTGTGCTGCTGTCCAGGAGAACAGTTCTGTACAAGACAAACCAGATAATCTGTTCAGTTAAGAAGCTTGAGCACCACTAGAGGAGACATATACTTTAAATAAAAACCTGGAGAAGTTTCATATTATGGAAGCTGCAGTACTGGAATATTATTCCTGAAGATTTTACAAACTTCTTTCTTGTGTGAAAAGACAGACCAGGTTTTTAATGAGTGGCTTAGTGATCAGCACAGAACATACAATGTAATGAATACACAAATGATGCTGGTCAAATATCTTAGGCCACCATGGTGATAATGTGAAAACTGACCGCTGCACAGTTGTTGCCCTGCAGAAGGCAAAGGTGGATGGCACAGTGAAGGAAAACTTTGGAGTAGTTGTCATTAAAGGCCAGCATCTTGAAGCTGAAACGGCCAGTTGTGGAGACACCATTCTGAAGCACTTTCACTGTCTTATCATCTTGATTAGGACACCTGCAAATATTTTGTGATGCTTCAACATTAAATCATTGAAAGCTATTGAGAATTAACATGAGAATGTACAGACATGATTCCAGAAAATTAAACAGGTGAAAAAGGTGTGAACTTTCCATTACTTTTCCTTACTTATTAATGATGAGGTCCCAGCGGACAGCAAAGTTCTGGTCATTCACAGGAGTGGCCCAACACGAATCTATCACTGTGGAAATCTGACGGCTGTCCACTCCCTTAACAATCACTTCCACATAGATCCTCTGGTCCACCACTATGTCCTCACTGCCATCGTAAGGATGGGAAAAGGCAGCATCCTGATAGGGAATCATCCTGACCTGGTACATCCCCTGACCATCTGGAAGGGTCTTGTGTACTATGCTGTTCAAATATCCAATCACAGGTTCATTATCAGTGGTACACTGGTGTCACATATAGTGTGAATGCCATTTTAGTAATACAATATCTCATAACACTTTATAATAATGATAGTATATAAGACACTCAATGGCTCTTTCTTCATAATTACTTAATCATGAACTAATCAGGAATTTAGAGTTATTCCTCATTACTTCACATTTAAGTTAGCTTCTACTTTATAATGAACAAATCATGTACTAACCATAACTAATAATATTGTAGTTTTATAGTGTTTCAATATTACTATTAATGTAGTATTGTATTACATAACTATATACTAATAAAGACTTATTATTAGATTAAAAATCAACAGTAAGTAGTGTCTTTTCTAACCCAGATATACAGAATGCATAAAATTTTAGGCCTCCAATGATTTAGTATACATTAACAAACAGCATTGATTTTCTTGATCATGGTTTACAGATTATGTATCATTTATTTTATATTAATTATCTGCAAAGTTTTTGAACCCCATAATCTAATGTAAAAATAATTGATTTTTAATAATGTCAATTACAAATTTCTTTACTGTAGAATATTAGATATTCCTCCATAAACATCCTAAATATGTACTGCTATACACTAGATTATATTAGTCTATAAACAATCAATAAACTCTCCTATAAGAAGGTCAGCTCATTTTAAATGATCAAGTAACTGATTACACAGCATTTCTTGATGTAAATCAACTTGAAGACAACATCAGACTTCTTAGTTTAGTCTAAAGTCCTATCTTTCCAAATTCTGTACATGAGGGAAACAATATTGAAATTGTTTTCCAGTTTCTCCCACTACTAGAGGCTCTTTCCATCATACAGTCCTCTCAGACATTTCTCCTCTTGGGTGCCACACTTATGGATGGCTATGGCATTTTGGGGCTTCAAACATATGATATTCTGTTGGGTTGAAGTCTTACACTGAAGGCCCTGTCATTATTTGTTCTTAAATATTCTAATCATAATTACTGTTTTTCTTGCTATCAGTTTTTATCACTTCATCCATGTTGCTTGCTGATACTGTCTTGTTGAAAATTCAAAGGCACTCATTTTTATTAGTAGATCAAACTAAAACAGACAAGCAGTAAGAGAGTATTAAATGGTATATATAGCTTAAATATGAGTGTGGATGCACTTTACATGTTTTAGATATCCTGACCATAAACAATGAATAATGAACAAAATATATTTAAAAAGTCAGTAGTTTTTCTTTAAGCTGGCAAGTATGTAACTCTGAAAACCCTACTCTAAAACTCTAAAAGTACCGAAGCACTCAGGAGCACCTATAGTTACTCCAATTTCTATGTTCAGAAATGTTTAATACTGTTTAATATGTTTAAACACTGTAGAAAACATTTGTTGTTTTAACTTTAATAGAAGTAAATATGATGGTCACATGTGGTGCAGATGTCTACAGCACATCTCAACATCAGTCCCAACATTGTGAGTTTACAGCCACCCGCACACTATAAGATATACAATTCTAAAACTCACTGCCTGCAAGACAATCTTGATCAGAAATACATTAAGAACTTTCAAGCAATATAGTATAAAGATATTTTGGAACACTATAATAATGATAGTTTATAAGACCTCTATAAGCTTTTACTTCATAATTGACTAATTACAGACTTATTCACCACTCATTAATATATAAATATTACTTTGTTTGACACATATAAACCATGATTGTGGTTTACAAATGACTAATATCTCTAATCTACAGTGATGTCATAGTGGCCTGTGCCTCCTCTGTCAGCTCATATGTAGCCCCACTTTATCATTAGTGTTTCTAATCCCACCTCTGCAGGGGGTTGAATTCCATGTCCATGGTGAGTGTCTGGCTGAGCTGATAAATGCAGGAGAAACGCAGTTCCAGTTGTTTCTTTCTGTTGATGGGTCCTCCTGCTGAGTCTGCTACCCCCTGGATAGAGTTCTCATACACAAAGTGGGTACCGTTGGCCTGTAAACAGTTATATTCATGATAAAATTTTTTTCGTCAAATGACATGATACAATCTGTGCATCTACAGTTATGTTTTTCATTTATCAAGGTTCTTTCAAACAGTGTAAATGTTCCCCCTTTCATGCACAACCCCATTTCCAAAAAAGTTGGGACACTGTGCAAAATGTAAATAAAAAGAGAATGCAATGATCTGTAAATCATTTAAACCCTATATTTATTTAAAATTGTTCAAAGACAACATATTGAAAAATATATGCCCATTTTGACTGCAAGCAACACATTTCAATAAAAGTTTGCGGCGGTGATAATAGACTGGAAAAGTTGTGTAATGCTAAAAAAAAAATACCTGGTAGTTCACTGGCAACAGGTTAGTGACATGATTGGGTATAAAAAGAGCATCCCAGACTGAGTCTTTCAGGGGTTCACCATTCTGTGAAAGACTGCGTGGGCAAATAGTGCAACACTTCAGAAGAATAAGCTTTCTCAACATAAAATAGCAAAGAACTGTCATTTCTTTGGGATTTCATTAAGTAGGGTACATGAAATCTCTGTAGGCAAGGGACAAGGCCAAAAACCAGTTTTGGCTGTCTGTGAACACAGTTTGTTACTGTATGCAAGTTAAAACTCACCACACAAAGAAAAAACCATTATAAAACAGCATCCAGAAATGTTGCCGCCTTCTCTGAGTCCAGACTCGTTTAAGATGGACTGAGGTGAAGTGCAAAAGCTAAACTGCTAAACTGACCTGCCTGCAGTCCAGATCTGTCACCCATTGAAAACTTTTGGTGCATTATGAAACGAAAAATATGACAAAGGAGACCCTGAACTGTTGAGCACCTGAAATCCTATATTGAGCACGAATGGCAAAACATTTCACTGTCAAAACTACAGCAGTTGCTCTCCTCAGTTCCCAAACACTTACAGAGTGTTGATAAAAGAAGAGGTGATGCAACACAGTGGTAAACATGTCCCTGTCCCAACTTTTGTGGAATGTATTGCTGGCATCAAATTCAAAATGGGAAAATATTAAAAAAAAAACAACAACAACAATAACGTTTCTCAGTTTCAACATTTGATATGTTGTCTTTGTAGTATTTTCAACAATGTTTTTAGGGTCTAACTAACTAATTTGTTTTTACCAGCAGAGAGGTGTATATTTGTAGCTTTAAATAATGTAATACACTGTAATGAGATAAATTAGTCATTATGGTTTCTAGTCAGTTTACCGTGAGATTTGTGCCACAGATGTGGTCATCGTTATCAAAGTGGAACACCAGTCTGCCGTTTTGGAGAGTTCCGTTGCAGCTGGGGTCACTCAGGTGCAGGACGTTAACAGGGAAACCAGCTTCAAAGAGCTGACAGCGGGACAGAGACATGGTGCCAGAGCTGCTCTCGCAGGTTTCTCTGGAGTCTGTGACAAAATGAGAGCATAAAATGAATGAGGCTTGAGGAAATATTTTACAGAAAGTGCTTTGAGTGTCTGTGCTTGTTCAAATTTGTTGGTACCATAAGACTCGTCTCCTGTTCTAGAATGACTTTCATTACAGAAGCAGCCATAGATGCCATCTCTCTCTCCACACCACTCATCCTCTGTGCAGTTCTGTTCTGCGCAGGGGTCCATCATCACTAACGAGAGATAAATAAACAGAGAAATGAAGTAACAATGCAGCAGATAGATTTGCCAAAGTGTTAAAGCTTAGAGTCAAAGTGCACAAACAGAATCAGACTAGTTGAAGAAAAAAACAGCTCAGACTGAACAATGAAACCGCGAGTCCTTAAGTTCTGCTGGGTGACTGATACTTAGTCTGTACACTTAAAAAACTTTTTTCATTTACTTATTTTCACTTTAAAAATCAACAAAAGATGTAATTAAAACCTTTTGCACACTGGTGTGTTCTTCAGCTCTGCTTTTCAGCATACCTGGTTTAACTTAACATATTACTTTACAAAAATCTAAAAAACGTATTGTACAGTAACATAAACAGAAATCTTGTAAAGAGGGTGGACAAATATAATTATGATTGATAGGGAGAGTAGAGACACTGAAATGAGACCAAACTTGCTTTTGATCTTTATCCAAATTTTATTTGACTTACTTTCATAGGCAGATATTTCATTTTACTGTTGGAACAATAAAGAGAAAACATTCTCAAGAGCAGTTCCTGAAGGGAACATAAAAGGTGCCACTAAAAGTACTCTTGTATTAAATGTGTATAACAAAAACACCCGTCACTGCTTTATATACTGGACAATTGATGGGCAAATAACTTAAGGATTGTACCAGCAGGTTCAAATGTTTTAAATTATAATATTAATATTCATAATAATACTATTTATAGCAGTGTTGTTTATCAGTCCAGTAGTCTATATATGCATGTTTTTGTATGTTCAACCAGCAATACCAAGAATGACCTACGGTACACCATATATGGCTGTAATTTTCCTAATTGATGAGTATGGTGTGACATCATCTTACAGAATCTCCATTGAGAACCATCATGAAGATGGTTTTAGTATGAATTTGCCTTATCATATTTTTACATACATTTTAATGATATTTTCTGATACATTTATGTATTTATTAAATATATGTTAGTGGTCTAATCCCTGAGTCTGCTACAG